TATATATAAAGGTGAGTATAGTACAGATGTCTGATTGGTCGACTAACGCTCAGTTAATAACGGTGAAAGAGATGAGCAAACAGAGCAAACGAATACAACAAGGCTAGTGATAATCGTGGTAGCGGTGACAAGTCAAAGGGCGAATGGACATCTTTAGGAGATGAGCAGATTAAAAGGAAAGTTGTGAGCTAAGACGAGAAAGCGAGAGCGGGATGAAGTTACGTAAGATACAGTAGAAACTATATGTCATGCATTGCAAGTGATGCAATCAGGAAGAGACATTAGAGACAAAAAACAAAATAATTAGTTCTCAAGATTGAGGTTGATGATACTGAGAACAGCCGATTTACTTGATTGAGCCTCGTTAAACGCACTAGTTAGGGTTTGGGGTGGGGTGGTGATGATGATTACAGAACGACTCTGGTTCCCTTTGAGCCAAGGACTAAAAAGAGTACAACAGTCCATTCTCGTATCAAGTTTTCCCGTTCGCGTACATAGGCACACACGCATATGAACGCAGCTACCAACTGGCCAACGGAATAAGCTCTAAGGTTGGTCGATGCGAATTGGTTGCACCTTCTCGAATACGATGACGTTCCTTACCTAGGGATCAATTGTTTACCTGTCCAATGCCGAATAGAAATAAACAAATCGTCGAAAACATTGCTTTTTTGGTTTTTGTTTGTTTGTTTCACTTCAGTTTTTTTGCTGAACTCCTGTTTTTTTTCTTTTCGCATTCCCTTTTAGACCAACTAAACGAACAGATACGTATTTCTGTCCGTTCTGTGCCCAGGCAAATCTCCGACGTATCCCGGTCACGTTACATCCGGACGGGAATTTGGAATTTCATTTCTCTCGTCGGTTTGTGAAATCGTTACGAGGCCTGCAGGTAGGTGAATTCCGGGCGAACTAACAGATAGCAGGTTGTGCTGCTGTCAAGGGAGACTGTTCTATTAGTAAAACCGACCCAGTTTGATTACACAATATATATATATATATATATATATATATATATATTCACACGCGTCTGAATCCAGAGTGTGAGCCGAACAAATCACAGTACAATAATCCCTATGAAAAAGAAAGACGTTTTATGATTTGCATGTGGGCGAAATACTGCCGGGTTATTCAGGCCAAGGCAGGTAAATTTACTAGAGGAATCGATAACAAGAGCCTTCGGTTAGCCAAAGCCTGACCCGCAAGGCAGCTGGGCGGTATGCAAAAACTGCATTCCATTTGAAGCCGGTGTCCAGTTCATCGAGCTGATGACCACTGCCACAACAGGGAGTGTGTATGTGGCTCGTACGCCTCATCGTGCTGGTTTGGAGTTAGACC